ATTTTACAAAAAATTGACCATACCGTCTAAGAAACTAATGTATTTGATGCTGCCCCTATTAAACTCATTTTGACTGTGATTGCATTGGCTTTATAGAGTACCGAAGTAAATATGTCACGCGCACAATTAGTGTGTAAAAGGCATTAGCGCGTGAACCAACACGCGCGCGTACTCCATTCGTTTGCACAGCACTTTCTGGTCCACAGTGACATCACACTTCGGTACTCTATGTCAATCATGTGCTGCTGGATTATTCATCGCGATGTATGCTGCGTAACTGCACCATGAAAACAGACCAATCAAATCCATGAAGCATGCAGGTACATGTAAAGTACATGTAATAAATACAAGAATGGTCTACACTACAGGAGAACATTAAATTCCAGAACTTGTAGGTGAAGCAGGCATTTATTCGCGTGGGGAAATATTCAGGATTATACACATAATGTTTCACATTTGTGCCACGGAAATTGACATTGGAAAGAATTTCATTTGCTGATAGGTAACATTAATCATTCTTATGGAATGGAACATTTCATCTGTCACATTATGAAATCATTTTTACCGCTGCAATCATAAACATGCATTAATTTATGGTACAATTCTTAAAAAGAAACCAGTAAAGATGTCCACAAAATTGCGTTCAATTTCCTGGCCTTATAAAAATATGTCACTGATGGACCTCAAAGCAAATGCCTGCAATGAGGTTCCCCTTGCTTGCTAAAATCAATACGCAGTTTCTAGGGCAACCATACCGGTATTTACTGATATAAAATTACAGTTATTATCAGCAGACACCATACATGCGAATGACAGCAACAGGCTCTTTAGACCTTTCACGGCCCATTTCCCCTTTCCATTGTGTAAGTTGTTCATTGGCAACTACTGTCTGTAGATCTGCACACCTTAATTTTGGCATGACTGCACCCATTAAAAAAATTTAATCAAGAACAGGTGCCATACTTTAATAGCTTATTAAATGCCGCTTTTTAAATGAGAGGTTACCAGTTGAAGTGACATATGGTGCATATCTTTTGATGGGTCCCCTGCTCAATAACTTGTGTGCTACAGTGGACAAGTGAAAACTGGAGACAGTTTAAGCGTGGCATGTACATGATTGAACTGTTGCATCTGGGGTGTGGCAAACTTAGAGATAGCTAGCAATAAATTACTGCTAAAAAACACAAGATTGATAAACCCTACAACAGAATTTGGGATAATTCTCCTCCAAGAACAATGAATAGTGTATATCAAATGATGTTCCTTATGGTAGCTGCTCTGACACTGGGGCAAGCTAACAAGATTGATCACTGCCCTGACGGATGGGTGGAATGGAACCGGTCTTGCTATATGCTGACCAAGACTCAGATGATGTGGAAAGATGCCCACCTAAGTTGTCGCAGCTTGGGCGCCCGCATGGCCGTCCCCAGCTCCAATGGAGAGAATGAGTTCATGAGGCACCTGGCAGCCTCCAACTCAACCAGCTTACTGTGGATAGACTGCACTGACACTGACAGTGAGAAAGAGGGGGCGTGGGTTTGTGGTGAAGACGGTGTAGCCGGTACTGGGTACCGCAACTGGTGGCCAAAGCAGCCAAACGACTGGCCAGCAAGCACTAGTGGCAGCGGAGCAGACTTTGCAGGTCTCGGAAGCAGTGGCCTCTGGTCAGATTGGGATGACCGCCAAGGACTCTCAATGTGTGAGATGAAGCTACCATGCATGCAGTGCTGCACCATCACAGCTGACAACAAATGCTACTAGATCTCTCCTACTTCTAGAATTCCTCCTTGTCAGAAATTTTTCAGAAATCAAGGTCAGCAACTCATCAGCAGGTCAAATGTTGTGAATTCTAACATATTAGACAGCTCATGATGGCTCTATCCATAATAATTGTTAAAAAAACTATTCAGCACAATAGACTGGTTCATGTTACCACTGCCAACTGCAAGTCACAAATCACTTAAACAGACCCTTCTCACAGCCTGAAACATACACGATCTTTATGTAATCTATTTAAATGAGTGCTGACTGAGAGTGCAAAACTCAAAGGAAACTACATGCAGCTTCCGGTATTTATCCTTCATACCGCCAGACTGCACTGCTGCTACCAAGCCAGTACCAAGCAACTCATTTCTATAAAGCCAATCTTCTTGATAAATCACGACAACTTTGGGAATGTGGACTGCAACTTCATTACACATACATGTACATGGATGCATTTTATTAAAACAACCTGTTATCGAGAGTGGTTCCCTGTCCTGTGGGGGTTACCAGCAAACATGCGATGCGATTGACACTGCAATGCACTAGTTCACAGCTGCACTGTGCTCACCTCACTAGTTTGCTATGATGGAGCTTTTTCTTCAAAACACTTTGATATTGCATGCTGACGAAGAGTCAAACCTGATACTTAACAGTCATTTCAGTAACTCGTAGAGTGAAAATGAAGAACATCATGGATGGGATCTCAAACTGCAGTGACTTGCAGAAACATGTTCCAAGCACTGGTTTATTAAGGCAGCTTTGCTGGCTCTGAGACCTGGGCAGAGGTACCAATCACATGATCGACCATTGCCCCGAGGGATAGGTGGAGTGGAACCGGTCTTGCTACACGCTGACCAAGATTGAGATGATATGGAGAGCTGTCGACTCGCTGCGTCACAGCTTGGGTGCTCGCATGGCTGTACCAATGCAGAGATCGTGTTCATGAGTCACCTGACAGTCTTCAACACAATCAGATACCGGTGCATGTACTTGTGGATCGACTTTTACTGGCTGCAACCATGAGAGTGAGTGGATCTGCAGTGAGGTTGGAACCGGCTACCGCAACCGCAAACTGAACAATGTAACAGGAGGTTGAAGCAGAGCTGACGCGGGAGCACAATCAGCGTGAGGCTACTGGTCCGATTCGTCCAATGGTGACTTCCCCTCAATGTGTGAAATGCAGTGCTGCACCATCACAACTGACAAAAAAGATGCTATAAGATCTCCATCAGGACATTTAGCACCAGGAATACACACTACAACATGTACGCCTGCTGCCACATTCAATGCATCTGACTTGTACAGCCTTAAAGACGTCAGTGGCTACACGTATGCAATGACCACCTCAACTAAGTATTGCATCTGCAGAACACTTCTCCCCCAACTGTGAAAGCCCACAAACTGAGTTACCAGTACATACATTCTGCTTTTGCTTCATTTTAATCAGCACACTTTTAAGTGAAACTCAAGGGGAATGCGTTTCATCCAAGAAACTGTTCTCACCAGCTATTCGTGAACTAATCTCCTTAAACTGAAGATTTCTAGAAACTCCTTTGACCATGTGATGTTGCTCTGTTTGCTAACTATGAACAAATCCCTAAACGCATACTTTTAATGGCTTCATGTTTCACGTGTGCATGTTCATGTATGTAATGTGTAATGCTTGGAATACAATCTTTCGTACACAATAAGGGCCTGTTTGTTCCATGCAGATCTGGATCGTGATCAGTGATCCCGCAGCTGGTTCGGGCTATTCATTAGGTGAGTTTGGTGTCAGCGAACCAACCACAAATCATTGATCGCGATCCGGATCCATGTGAAACAAACAGGCCCTAAGTTCAATCACATTTGGGATGAGCTCAGGAGGCATGCTCTCTTGTGTTTACGAAAAGTTTGAGTTGTTCATTTGTCGGTCGCTCTAACTTATAATCAGTTTTCGCTGGTATTTAGTGACAAGCACATTTAACCACTTGCTGCCAGGTGGTTTGAAAAATGCAGTGCACATAATCGGGACTTTTTCAAGATTTTCAGTTTTCAAAATTCTTCAAAAATTCATCATCTCAATTAATGAACGTTTACACCCACACGAATTACCATCTGGTGGCCACTCTAGTCTGACAGATAAAATCTATTGGCGCCCGAGTATTTCAGCCAGGCCTGCAGCCTTGTAAAAAGAGCCCAGATTGCGCGGTGTTATGTTTACAACTTTCTTTTGTTCATGAACCTGGCACAGTGCCCTGCTGACCTCTTTTCAATAGGGGCAACATTAGCGTGCAGCGTTGCTGTGTGGCTCATCGCTGCAGTAGTGGAGCGCTTTTGTCCCCGGTGGTAATCAACTCGTGCTAAATCCCCAAAACTGTGGTATACTGTTTCAAAACACGGCTGAATTACCTCCAATATTGAGAGTGAAAAACTGTTGATAATGCTCACAGCAGCCTGGTGTTTTGCTACGAGTACGGTCTTTTGTTACAAGGCCCAGTTCCCGTTGTCTGATTTCGGAGACCCCGGCCAGTTGTATAAAGAACACATGTCCGGTGCCAGCAACCCTTGCAGCTAGTGGTTAATTTTTTGGGGAGATTAATTGGTCTATTCTTATGCTTATCGTAATTTGCCAATTGCACGTCAGTGTAAGGGCCATTGCTTGAGGACATTGATGTAATTTGAGAAGAAAGAGAAAACTCAGTTCTTTGATTGATGTATCACTCAGGGTGGCATCCTAATGAAATGGCCATAATGTGAAGGGTCTGTTGATTTATTTTATATGCAAGATGCATTTAAAAGCTTTGAACTCTAAAAAAAAAGCTTTCATGAATTACGACGCAAGGTTGAAGGTAAGGTTACAAGAGAAATTTAAATCTGGCACTTAAGGGTTTTTTGCTAGGAACTGAGCAGAATCTTCAAGAATCAGCTACACTGAAATCTAAACCACTTTCTAACGTCAACTTTCAAGGGCTCATCAAACTCTTTGTAAATAATAATGACTAGGCTCTACCATATGTAATCCTACAAAATCCTCAGAAAATTTCTCAGTAAAATTTTAAAAATTTCAGAAGAATAGCGTAACACCTTCAAGAACTTGATGTATAAGTAATGTGTTAGTTAGTAAGCACAATAGAATTTTCTGTCGCTCGTGAACAAAGTGTACTTAGTCCTAACCTTTGAAGTGCATGGATGCAACGCAACGAATAAGATCCTATGAAGAATAAAGTGCAGTTGAAGAAAGATAGTAGACTTACTTTTCTAGGAGCTGGAATGCTGCCAGTTTGACTGATCGATCTGTCTTCAGAAGCATAGGGCACAAACGGTCCAAAAGGATATGAACTGCATCCTGGGATGTGTTGAAATTATCGGTTAGCTTTGCTGCTCCCACAGACAGCGAGGACTTTGGTGGAAACGTGTGTTTCCTGAGTTGTTCTGATGGGTGGTGGCGGACTGCGTCCGATGCTGACTGGAGCAGGTGATGTCTCAGGACTGACAGATGGTCAGAATCAGTAGCCTCTGCACGAATGAAACAAATACTGCGCTTAATGCCACATTTTTGCAACGTCCGAGAAAAATGAAAAACACACAAAAATTTTTAGCCCGGGTGACAGGGAGAAGAGTCTGCTTTTCAGCTGTGGAATCATCTCCCTTGTGGTTGGGACTTTTCGGCAAACTTTCCGCTATCCAAAAAAAATCTTGGCCTTTGAAATTCTGAAAAAAAAAAAGGTACGGCTTGAAACTACTGACCGACTATCCTGACAAACGCAGGCAGCACCAGCGTGAAGGCCGCGTCGCTGTAAAACTCCACCCACTCTGTGCATAGGTTGGCAGGGAGGGACGAATGACCACCGGGACTGCCCAGCAGGGTTGCGGCTGAGGTCAAGAGGTCAAAGGCCGTACAGCAGAATGCAGCGGTGAGGGTGGAGGACAGGGCATGGTCGCTACTCTGACTGCAGGTCTTGAGAAGTAAAAAGTCAAAATGACGGCATTAAAATGCCAGACAGACATAGGAAATGCAAATGGCATACTGAGGACATGTTTTTCGCATAACTGAATATATACACTTTAACTCATTATGTCATTTAAACAAGTAATGCCTCTTCACAGAACTTCTGACTCGTATATCTGCACATTTTTTACAATTAAGCTTTTCCTGGCAAATGAGGGCACTGTTGCTGCGATGGTCTGACAGGAAGGCATTGGGCAGTTTGGGGATTTCCTGCTCAAAACTATGAACCCAAGATTTGCTCACTGAAAATTTTTTTTTTGTGAGAAAACTTTTCTCACAGGCCTGCTGTCATGAACTGCAACAACAACGAATCAGCAAAGCACACAAAAACCAATACCATATATTTATATAAAAGATTCAGGCAAATTTCAGTGCAAAAACAGCTGTGAAACCAAACTTTCTATTTCAGATAACATCTTTTCACTCATGAATATGCAAATTAAGATTAACATAAAATTACAAAGGAACCAACTTAAGAAAAAGCCCTTAAAATGAAAAAAAGGACAACAATGTTAAATGGAATACAAAGGAGAATTTACAAGAACTGCAGTTATAAAATGACATTGCATGAGTCCTTGGAAGACTGTACGGTAATTTCTTGCACTTCTACAACTAGTTTGGAAAACAGGATTCCGGTGGATTACCTGGATCCAAGCTACAACGGAGCAAAGCATGAAGTCCCAGGATGGCTCACTCAGTGCTGTGGGCAACTTTTCTATGACTAGCCGTATTAATTGCATCATCTTGACATTGATGAACACGTCGTTTAAAATTGATACTTCGTGAAGGTCTCTGGTGAACAAAATTTAGCAAATATTTGAAATTCAATTCTGAAAATAAACACAGAGCTAGCTTTAAACGTAGTGTTCAAAACTTTTCAATATCCAGAAGTCAACTTTGAAGAATTTTATAAAATTACAAAAGCACAGCCCAGCCGCTATTATAGAAAGCAACAGCACCTTAAAAAGTGAGAATACTTTAATTACAAAGAAAAGATAGTCATGGACTAAATATTAACAAAGGGCCCACCCCTCCCCTGCCTTGGTTGCTGATACTTACCCCTCTCCAAAGAAAATAAATTTTCCCTTGATGAAGGCATAATTTGGTAATGCCAAATCGAGTGTTGTATTCGGGTCCATCACAACAAGTCCCTGTAAGTCCATCACAAGTCATTCAGTCTTTACTCTTAAGCCAATTCATAAACTATTCCAATGAGCTGTGACAAAAGCATTCTTTTGTCGATGCTCACCCTGTTACTTGTGCCTGGCCTTGTGACGGGACTTGTGATAGACTCGAACACAACACTGGCCAAATCAATACAGGCAATTCACGATGAAGAAAGGCAATTCAATGGAAAGGTCATTTTTTTGGCAGAGCACTGTGGGAAATGGTCCACGAATTCTATTTGTCAGAGCGTGTGTTCAATTTGCATTTGAACACAAGCTCAAATGTTGACCGTAAACTTGAAAAATACAGCCTCTCCATGGCAACCTCTTTGAGGCACACTGTGTGGTTGAATCGCCCCATTAATACACTGATCCTTACTTTCCAAAGAGAAACAATTCCAGATAGTCCTCCCTCCATTTCATGAGTTGCTGGATGCAGCTAGCCACAACCTCAGCATGGCTGGCAACATCAAAGCCGTCTGGCTGCCGGACGATGGCTGCGACTACCGACATGCTCCCCAGGCCACCTGTGAAATCATAAAAGAGGCAGCCTATTGATCAGTCATGAACATCCGTAAATGTTTTGGAATTGTATCATTCGTATGGCTCTTAAGTCATTTTAAAACAAACAGACAAATCAGTTACTGCTTCAACTATAGGGGCAGTCACTGAATCTGTACCATGGAAATTTGATCCTTTTAACAGTAGAAGTTGAGCCCATGCTAGACAAAAATGTGGCCGATTTTACAACTGAATGCACACAAGTCCATAGTCCTTGGGACAGACATTTTGCACTGTAAATACTCATGAGTGCTGAAATGGCCATTTATTATGCAGGACAATCACCCTTTGACCTTCACACTGCAAACCACCCAGATCAGTCCCCTCAGGAGGCTGGTCATGCGATTTCAGAATCCAGCCAAGCTCAAAATGCCTTCATCCATCTTGACAGCAACAGTCCACTAATGCAGAAAATGCTGTGTGAGTCAATTTACCATCAACATGAGCCACCATCTCTTTCTCTGAGGATAAAAGCTTGGCTGTGTTGATCTCTAACAACTCCAGCCTCTGTGCCTGGCTCAGGTGAGGTAGGATAGCTTCCAAGGTGTGGATTGCCAATAAAGACAGGACAGCAAATCTGGTCAAAGAAAAGGTACAGCTGCATTCAGAAAAACATGACGGCTTCTTACGACAGAGATTGGAAGGTTCCTCCATTATTATGGTGCATCGATACGCCATCTTTAGTTTGAGAAGTGTGGGAAGAATTCTTAAACCTTACTCCAGTTGATAATCCAAAACTGCTAAATGTGACACAGCCTATCAAACGAGTTGGAAGTCACCAGAGCTAAAGGAATCTTGAACAATGTAACAGGAAACTAGACATTTTTCACCCACACAAGGTCTGTTTCCATCTGCATGTTGAACGAAAAGTTCAGTTTGATCTTTCTAATCCAAAATAAATTTAACCCCAAATGTTCTCTTCCCCGAAATGTGACATGGGGAAATGGGACAAATTTCCGCTCTGACTGGGTCCTGCATGTACCTGTCTGTGCCCTGAGCAAGTTGTAGTAGGCTGAGTTCCCTGTGCTTTCCCTGGTACCTTGAGTAGCAGCTCAGCAGATAGGACAAGGATGATGACCACAGGTTACCGGCTATCATGGACCTGTTTCACAGGAAATTTTTCTTTAAATGCCAACTCACAACACTGTATCTCTAAGTGATGACCAATGTTTCATAGTCTGTTCTTAGAATCCTACCAACTTGTATTGCATGGGGACTACCAGACTGAATGAAAATATGCTTTAGTTAAGAACAGTAACAGAAAGAGACGAATTTTGCTCTGGCCAAAAAACAAAAACCAACAAGAGATATAGATGTATTGAGAAACATATACACTCACAGTTTTTCTTATTTAAAGATGAGGTGAAAAATCCAGAGAAAGTTTCAAATTACCACATAGACATCAACGATTATACTTATAGACTTATCTATTCATTGTGGTAAAAACTGAATGCTTCCTCACACAAGCACAGGCATTAAAAGCTGGAAGCCTTCAGAAACTTGCAGAGAGAAAAAGATGAAGTAATGCTCAGTTTCAGAGTTGGGAAGAAAATCCTAGAACAATCCTAAAACCTGCAGAGTCAGGAAGATATGAAAATCCAACCACATGTTGGACAAAGGTGGGATCTGAACCCAAGTCACAGAGGTGGAAAGGTGAGGAAAATTTCACTGTACCAACTAGAATTTCTTAACAAGATCGCGTTTGAATGAGATACTCACATGTCAAGAATGTCCCCCACCAGCCTCTTCCAATCGTCGTTGCTCAGGCCCTTCCAGACACCTTCGAGTGTTGTGTTGATGACCGTGGCAACCTCAACACAATACGATGGCATTTCAACGCCAAAATTCTGCTGAGGAATCTGTGCAAAAACCACAAACCATAACTAGCTATCAAAAATGGATTAATAAAAGGGAGCGTGTTTAAAACTTGGAACATGTGGATTACTGATCCATTGAAAAGCACTTCCTTTTGATACAGAAATTGTTACTTAGGGACACATGCTTTTTGGCTGTTAGCCAAGTTTTGAGGAATAGCTGCACCTGATTGGTCAATGCATTAAGGCCCATGGTTCCTTTACACCACTGCAGAGCATACAACAGTCCCTTCAGTGCCTGCGCTATAACATCAAATCTCCATGGTAACTGGGCCGAAGTGACGCATCTGTCTAACTCATCCTTGTCTTGCTCAGCAAGCTCTTCTGCTTCCAGCACGGACTCGCTGTCGACCTCAGGACTGGTTGATATTTCGGACGGCCTGAGGAGCGTAGCAACATACACAGAGTGGACAAGCCCTGTTGGCATGGTGACAGGGTCAGTGGGGGTCATCTCTGGAAGTTCAGTAAAGGTCAAGGTTTCATCTAGAAAGGATGACACCATCCACTGTAACGGAGGAAACATGCAGCAAAGAATTACTTGCGTTCACTGTATCTGTTCAGACAAGTTACTTCAACATTCACATCACAGAAGCGCTCCAATTGGGGAGTCTTTTAGATCCTATACAATCCAAGCTCCATATCTAAAGCCCCACCTGATTGGACATAGCCAGGTTCTTGTCCCACTCAGTCTCCGATGGCATCAACAGTGCGGCAAAACTCTCTGCTGTACTCAGAGCATCATGGTCCTCACTCAGTGGTAGGCTGGACGATACAAGGCCACTCAAGGTCATCGCTGGCTTGGCTAGTAACTCAATGCTAAGGTCAACAAATACAGGACAAAATGAGATGATGGAAAATGGCGCACAGGGCAATCTTTCACATTCACACAAAAGACAGAAACCACTCAGTATGCCAATTACTTGCTCGACAGAAAAAGAATGAGAAAGCACCCAGCCATGCCCCTCGGTCTATGATGTCATACCAAACAAGACTACCGACTAGCCAGAACGGGATTTAGTCATGGTTTGAAGTAAATGTGTTCATGTGCCAAGTTGCCTGATAACTGCACAAATGACAAAAGGATCATGGTTCTCCAACTTGCTAAGAAGTTGCAAAGTGGTAATAGATACAAACTGAAATATGGCACTTGGCCACTCGACACTGTCTGATGTGAGAACATGCAGGAATTCCTGAAGGGCGTAAACACATTTTCAAATTCTTCATGCACCATTGGATATCTATACTCATCCATACATGGCGGTGGTATCTTGTTATTCTAAATGTGGGTATGTTAAGCCAAACATAACACTACACGTGGGACAAATTCACTATGAAATAATACTCAAACAATCAAAATGAACATCTGCAAGCAATCCGAATGCCGTAAATGGATGCAAAGCAACACTGCGGAAATTTTCAGCGCTGAAAAAGGTGCCCATGTATTTCAGCATGACATCTCGGAATCAACTCATACCTGAGTAGGCTGTGCGGGCCTTGCTTGAGGCACAATTTAATCCAGCCGGCCGCCCTGCAGAGGAACCCCTCCTCCTTCAGGAACCCCCCTGTTTGCCGGATGAGCGACTCTGCCCCATTAGTCCACGCTGATAAGATTTTCTTCTGAACAGGTTCTGATTTATGAAAAACAGGCCATCACTTTTCAGTCAATACTTTCCTATTGAAAAGTGGTTAATATCAGTTTGCCAGATGAAAATGACGAGGCTTCAGGGGCACTGGCAAAATGCTGACTATTCATCAGTACAAGGTTACAGATGCATTTGGATTAAAACAGCATTCTTCTCTATATGGAAATGAAGCCTGCTGCAATGTTTTCTAAGAGCTTGTGCAAAAGAATTCATGGGCTTAATCAGGTGGGATTCAAATCTGTTATCTTCTTCTACGTATAGACTTCTTGAAACCAAACTTGCAAAAGTCAACCAGGCGGTTCCAAACCAGTTTAGCAGCAGGTAGCACGCACAGTCAACATTAAAAAAAAAACCTCTTTGGAAGACTGGCAAACACAAACCTGGAAAGTTTGTCGCCTCTTTACAGCTCAGTTGGAACAGGGCCAGGAGCAGGTCTTCAGCAGAGGAAATCAAAAGACATCCCTATCATTCCATGAAAAAAACAGACAAACTTCAAATTGGACAAGGTAGAAAACAAAATGCCAGAAGCATTTAGTCATGCTCGTCAAATGTTTTGTAGGGGGACTTGCTGATGTTGGGCTTGTAGTGTGTCTCACAATTGATGATTTTTTGAACTGTGCTCGACGTCTTTCCTGGCTTGTTTTAAACTAGGAATTCTCACTTTTTTGTAAATTCCATTGACATTTTGTTTCATTTACCTAATTTGATCCTGATGTTTTTCTCATTCGATGCACTTTTTCTTAGTCTGCCATGTTTAGTTGCCCTAATCTAGGATTTTGCCATGGGCTGCCAATGCAGCAGTGCATATTCACAATGAAGATCGTCTGATGTCATTTAAGAATAGCACTACGCATACGAGATGTCTGCGACTGGCCACATTGAGCATGTTTGAGCTTCCAAGCATTGCTCTCAAATAACCTTGCTTGTTTGAAATAACAAACTGCCTCATTTCGCAAAGTTGAAAGACAGACTGGAAAAGATTTGAACTGAAAACCTCATTTCATCAATTGATTAGAGTCACTGCAGTAAGATAAGATTATTTCACTAACAAGATGCCATCTTGACACAAAGAAAAATTAACGGCAATTTAAACACTTTTGTAATCCAAACATGCGATATCCTGCCCAGGAAGCAAGGAATGGCAAATGACGCATAAAAACCTGACCTTGACTGCACTGAAGAAGTTGGCGGCCACATCGCAGATGAAGCTGATGCAGTTATCAACTCCCTGCTCGTTGCCTTCCAGTCTGACCTTTGACCTCAGCAGAGTGTCAGTGAACTTGCACAGGATTTGGTCGGCATAGCCAGAGTGAACTCTGGGCTCTTTTTGCCCCACAAAGAAAAACAAATTATGGTTTTCATGCAAGGTTTCAATGAAAAAATCTCTTCTCCAGATAATTCATTTTCAAAATGATGAAACTCCACATTCGTAACAGTTCAGAAGTTAAAACATAACTCTAAAAAGTGTTAGTGACTTCCATCCACATCCCTCTACCTTTTTTGACTTTTTTCTTGAAGTTTTACTATCTCTCAAAATGTGAAGACAGTACCTTTCAGATGAAGATTTTGTACAATTTACGAGGGATAAAAAGTGAAGTTCCTGGTGAAATTAGGATAAAATCGTAAGCACTTCGGACGTCACCGACCAACCTTCTTCGGCCTCCATGGACAGCCCCAAGTTGATCAAGTCCCAGCTCTGCGATGCTGAGCCGTTTGCCTCCCCATCAAGTGCCTGGGAGCACAGCATGTCAGTGAGCTTCAATAGCTTCTCTCCAAACACGGCCGACTTGAGCCATGCCCTGACGCAGGCGCTGTGAGAGGAGTCTAAGATCTGCACACGAAGAATCCAACAAATTTGATGGATCATTTTTATTTACCAAACAATCAACCATTATTCAAGTAAGCTTTACAGTCCTTTGCAAATATTTAAGACTACCAGGAATTTATTGGTATCTCTATCATTGGGCCTGCATTGCATTGTCTCACTTAATGGTTACTTACAATGGTGCATAACATCAGTTTAGTGTGATTTACCCATTTGAATGAAATTTTGTGCAAAGGCAGGTTTTGTATGACAGTTTTTCTGTAAGGCAGCACAGGTGAAAAAAAAGCCAGTCTAAGTAATCAAAATAAAGGAGGGCACACTAAATATTATACTGATAACATCTCAAATCATGGAAATGTAGCCAAATAGCTGTTTAATGAAGATACTAAGGTTACACATTGAAAATAAACATAAGTTGGCATGATTGATTGGTTTCAGTTTGGTTTTTCCCCAAGTTAATGCATTTTGTATGGGCGGTCCTAAACATTTGCAGATGACTGTACTGACCGATGTGGGTCACTAAACATCATCTTTTCATTTATCCCTTCCCCCTACTTTCTCCGTCCAGTTCTCGATAGTCCTCAGGTATTGTTAGCTATGCAATAACAGACCTTCAAGGCAGTGCTGTAATGCTTAGTCAGGTCAGACACTTACTTTATCTGTGCAGTGATGTGGGACTGATGTTTATCTTTCCTTTTACACAGTGAATAGTTTATTAATAGAAATGAAGTGGAAAATCCGGAAACTCCAAACTAGAGTCCTGCCTTGGTTTAGTGTATGCTGTGCTTCACAGTTCCGTTGAAAAAAAATGCCGAACTGGCAAAGGAAATCATCCAACTTGAAGATAAACTGAACATTAGTGTGCATAGTCCAGATAAAATTGCTCTCACCTTCTTTATCAGGAGGTACAACGTCTGTGGTCTACTGGTCTGTTGGCAGAACTCATCAAGGATGGCTTTCTTTTGCTCGTCGTCACAGTAGCAGAAACCAGCAGCCACAAGATTCACCACATAAGGCAGGACCTCCTTCGCAGGCCTCTGTGCCTCCTCTTCCCCATGTTGCCTCTCTTCTTCTGACTGCACCCACGGCAAGAGAACCTCCTCGAAGCACCTCTGAATGACAATCGAGGAGTCCTTAGCATCGTCGGCGATATCTGAAGACTGGACTTTGGAGCATGGGAGTTTTGAGTCACTGTCTTCATGGCCTGTCTCTGAGTAACCCCCATCTGAAGTTTTTGATTCCTGCACCCCTTCTTCACTTCTTGGTTCACCATATTCCTCTTCACTGTTTCCTCCTAATAGCTCCTCGAAAACCTCAGCCAGCTGAAAGGAATCAAGCAATTTGACAAGAAGCGACAGGTGGGGCAGCGAACCAGTGCGAGCAAGCCCACAGCTGTTCCTCACGAGTTTGCGAACGAGGCGGATTAGCTCCGGATATCTCTGAAAGACGGCCTGCAATGACGATTTGACCTCAGTCTCGACTGGAGCAGGGGGCCCATCCTCAGAGAACGACACGCTCCGTTTCTTCATCATTTTGGCCGTGAGCGACTTATCCGGACACTGGAGTTGCGTGAGAAGCACTGCCATCTTTTCCAGGGATCTGCTGGCATTTTGGCTAATTTCTGCAGGGCCGACCTGCTCTGAGCATATGCTGCTGAGACTCGTCCAGAACATTCGGAGAGCGTCCCTGGCAGGAGCCTTCTCAAGCTGCTTGCACAGGTGGGATAATAGCTTCGAGGTATGGAGATAGAGGGAGGTGGTCGCTAGCTGACTGTCATCGTCAGTTATTGACTGTCTGAGGACAGGCATCAACTGTAAAACCAATCAGACAAAGTCTGTAATGCTAACCCTGACTGTAGTTTGTTGGTTTGGCCCATAGACTGTCAAGTTCCTTCTGCACCAATCATACTTTCCCCCAAATCTGATACTTTGAAACTCTTCTTGATGGACCCACAAAAGACGGGACTGCATATCTGAAGAGAACTTTAACCCCAACTCTCAGAGCATTCTTGCTAGAAAACTCCTTGAATTCTCAACAATTTGTCAAGCTGGCACATTCTTTGTGTGTGTGGCTGTCACGGTGTGTGGTCTATACCTTCCTCAATCCTGCAAAATCCTATAAAATCTTTGAACAAATGTTCAGGATTGGGGAGGGCTGCAGCTCAATTATTTGAAGGGGTGCTGTATGGCGTTTGTGCACGTCGAGTCTATGTCTTCCCGTAAAAACCCAATTTTGTTATTGTAACACCTCTCCCACAAATTCTGTACCTTGCCGAGAGCCAGTCACACAGCATCCACTATTTCTGCTCTCTTGTTTTTCACAGCTGAAGGAAGTATACGCATAGCAACCATGACCTTCAGCACTGTGCATACTGATGCCTGCATTGCGGGCTGTGCATCATGTATATTCCAAAGCTCTATACGGCCACGTTCAGACATTTTGTGGTAGTTTGGAAAAGGCTGGTAAATGTTCAACTTATTTCTTATTCAGATGTACCTTTCATAAATATTTAGATCAAATTAAGCATATATCGCTTACATGAATGAGAATCTGTGGGAGAGGCGTTGTAAAACATGGAACATCCTAGTATACCTCGGCTTCGCCTCAGGAAAATAGAATGCTCAGCTTGAAAGACAAATTTTACTTCATCACTCCAGGCAATATTTGTATGCTCGACAAAGGGCCTGTTTGTTTCACAGGGATCTGAATTTCGATCAGCAACCCGTAGTTGGTTCACGGACACCAGAACCCACCTAAAGAATGGGGTGAATCACGGATCGAGACCCAGATCAAGTTCAAAGTTGACGAGGAAAGTTCTTCATGATTCTGTTTGCCTGACAAATCCTACACCACCTCAAAAAACAATTCTCAAGTAAAGAGACGGCAAAACATACCGCACTTATATTAAATAATGAAACCAAAGTAATGTAAAGTTTACCTCTTCCTGAATGAGGTAGGCTTGAAGACTCTGAATATCCTCTGCTCCATCACTGGTAACTGTTTGAGAGATTGAGTACCGCAGACATTCCATATAGGACTTAATGATGGCTCCATATTCACTGGTGCTCTGCCTGGCTGAGCTGCAAGTCAGTCTGAAATGGATAAACTAAGAAATGTAACTTGAACAAGGCACCGTATTTTCAAAAACTTAATTTGTGTGTTCATAGGCCTGGTTATAACTGCCATACAGTTCATGGATCAATAAAATGCTACATAAATCATATATAATATCATATTTCACATACCTATATCACATTACATATCAAATATATTATATCATATATGTGTATTTCACATATATATCTTATATAAGATATCCAATATATCATGCGTATATCACAATTATGATACATATAGTGTCTTAACACTCACCCTTCTTTGATATTGCCGAAGAACTCCAGATAGAACCCTATCCCTGACCCCATGACATCGGGCGGAATGTGACTGAGCAAGGGTAGCAGATGAGGGTATATGACCGTGGCGCTACCATTGCCTCCTGCTCTCAGCATGGCCCAGAGCTTTGGGAGGATGGCCTTGCGAACGTTCACATGCTCCCAGCAATTCTGGAGTGCGATGCATTAAAAAAGTGGTTTAGAAAAGTGAGCCACGAAGAAGGAGACTTTGGATCTTGACAAATGTGAAGATTCTTCAAGAAAGGTGTACTTAAAAATTTGATGTTGATGTTAACTTTAAATACTATTTTTAATGCTCATAGTCACATAGTATTTCAGCCTCAGGGATGCACGGCGGCCACGGCAAAGCCACGTTGGGTATAAAAATACCATATTCCACATCAACAGTGATAACTGTTAACCAGTATCAATGAAATAAAGTCAATCTCATGCATGCGATGTTGTTGAATACTGTTGAGTACTGATACAATCCATCAACAATTCATGAGTTTTATGATGTGAAAAATGGTTTTTTTCACCCTCCCCCGGATGAGAATGCACGGTTTCCTATGATCCTATACTCAGGTGCCATGCACCTGGCTGGTTTCAAAATTTCCGTATTCCATATATCAGCGGTCAAAAACTGCTGAATGTCTCTTGACTTACAGGGAACGTAGACATAAGCAAGAGCACTGATTCCCACAGTGCTTGCACAGCTAAGGGGTCCGATTCATCAAGGCCCCCTAGCAGGGTGGTGGATATACAGGCTAGCTGGGCCTCAGCAATAGAGGGCACACTCTTGATCAGGCTGCCCTGGAGAGAGTACATGGCACTCCGCAGCTGGATTGAGTACACGGGACAAATATTAGCATAAAGCAGCATCTCACAACTCCTGTTCCTTTCAGAGAAATGGAAACTACCCATTCATACCAAATTTAACAAAAACTGTGTCAGCACTACATTATTCACGAGTGGAAGGGTGATAACAGATTTATCTTCAAGCAAACTTGACGCGCATTAAAGATGTTATTGAGGCCTATGCGGGCAAAGGGACCACCTTTGAATTTAAAGTAATTTTGCAGGTGTGCGTTTTGCTTTTCGTGTAAAAACAGTGCAATGCGTTGAGTTAAATCGGTGCGCTGGGTTTGATATGAACTGTGCAATACAGCTACATATCACGCTGTTTGTTGCCATGGATTGACCAATCAGAATTAAGAATTCAAGTTTGCCTGAAGGTAAGGCTGGTTATCAATAGCTGTGCATATGACACAGAATAGCAGGAACCAGGATCATGAGTGTCATGATGACATTTGACCATGCAGCTGGACTAGCGACAGTCGCATTTTAATGTTACTTTCCAGACACAAGGCCCATGGACCTCAAGAATCAACCACAAGTAAACGAGGTCCTTACTTGGATTTGCTCAAAGAAAACAACATGAAACTCGGGTGGGCAAATCGGGTAACAAGTAAAATTTCATGAAGCAATTTCTTCGTTCAAAAAGCTGAACTGGGGAAAATAAACAAAAAGATAAAGAGAAAACTGACTGCCTCTGTTTTCCCTACCTGTGGTGATTTGCTCTTGGCAAGTTTCCAGAGCTTGCCCTCGGCCAAGATGGATGCGAGGATGTCCTGAACGGAGGAAATCTCCTTCTCCGGCAGCACTGTCACAAACTCACCAAGGGCCAGCAGCGAGGAGGTCAGAATGCGAAGATATTTCTCCTCTTGTTCCTCAGGGGTGTAGGACCTGTGATAAAATGCTCCAGAAATCTACTTTTTGGTCTTCAGGCATGGACTCTGGGGACAAACTAGTGCAGGTGCGTTTCTCCTTGTTTGGACCTTAGAACAAACGTGGCCCCCATCTTGTCAGCAGTGAAGACCTTGATCAGACTTACAGCTGTGAAAATGCTTCCCTCACATTCAGCACCCAATGCAGAGTCCCTGTGGACCTCTACTTTATTGGAAGGGATGATGTGATTTCTTTGAGCATGATTGCGCATGATGATATGGCATGATTACCTGGAGGGAAATGTGACCTCAATTACAGTAAAATATCTCGCTTGGGGACAAGGACATGTGCGCAATATGTTATATTAATATCATGAGTCCAATAACAAACCACCAGGCCACAAAATTCAAGACACTTGGAAGATGACACAAGTGGTTGCAAGAATACCGTAGAAATTCTGATGTCTCAAACAAGGCCAAAACAAGGCTAGTGGTGTAAGCCACAGCAACCTGTAAACGACTGAAGGCTTGGCACTACTTACCTGGGGTCACTCAGTGAGGCTGCCGTCTCTTTGAAGAGGTTGTCTTCAAGATACTGAAACAAAAGCATGGATTTGTCCCCATTAATGAGTATTCAAGTAATGGCTCTGAAAATTTTAACATGAACCTGCATAGATTTCAAAGCGTCTGATTACTGCCACAAAAGAATACAACTTGATACACCGTAGCTCAGCTGATAGGATCTGAGAGAGATAGCAGATTCAATTCCCACTTACGTGAACTACAAAGTAATATCTGGATAACCGTATTACAGTATCATACTAGCAACCAAGCAGCTACACTAACAAGTAGAAATTATAGCACAATATGGATATTTGCATTCACATTTGGGTAGTTTATTTGCTGTGGAGTATCACTACTGTATTAAAATACATAGACAGTTCAATCTTTACTTCTGTGAATTATAAAGTAAATATTTTACTTCGAACATACTTAAATATTTTACTTAGTGAACATCAGGATTGCTACATCACCTTAGACATAGACTTTAAAACTACTGGAAACAACGGATATTTATGGTTTTTTTTCTTTTTGGCGTTGAAGCCGCGCTCAATTATTTAAGATGGATGGTTTGGTTAGGAATGACGTGTGTGTCCATGGAAACCACTAGAGGCTACAGCCACTCCCCATGAACGTGTTTGCTATTGCCCTGCTCAAGCCAAGTCATTCGGACACGGCTCAGCTACTCACCCTGAGCACTTCCATCTTGCAGAAGGCCACCGCCTCCCCTTGCTTGGCCGCGGGGAAGGTGCTCTGGAAGGCTGCCCTCGCCGAGAGCGCGGCCGGAGCATAGGTGTCACACTGCGACAGCAGCCAGGTCCCCATCAGGGGGCGAAGCTGGGGGGCCAAGCTGCGACGGACACGCAGGACCAGCTGCTCGAAGGCCTGCTGCATGGCCTCCCTGACGCGCTTGTCGTGGTCCTGTCGGGACCCGAGGAGGTTGAAAAAAGGGTCTGATACACTGATCTCTACAAATTGATTGGATAGTGCGTGCCGGTATCACGGTGCATGGACAACTTCAACCACTGTGGCTCCATTTTGGGGGGCCTCGTAAAGATGGCTACCACTACATTTCATGCAGGAGCGACTACTACATACATTTGTAATTTTCAAAAGTTTTGAACAGTATCAAGAGATAATTAAATAATTCATGGGTTAAAAAATGTGGAAAAATCTTATCCAAATACCCCTGAAATAAAAGTAAACTGAGGGCACATAAAATGGTCTGAAAGAGTCTTCCTATCACCAACACCGTGACTGAGACTTTGATTCTCCTGCGGGGACTTCATCAAGAGTCTTGAGGATAGTGCCTCTGTTTTAAACCCTTGATCTTCCTGCTGTGAAGCACACATCAGGAGAACTTTCAAAGTCTTCAACAGTAGTAGAGGTGGCCTTATTTGGCATCAACAAATTCCTATTGCATAAGGAAACGATTCTGGAGAAAGAAACAGCAAACCTACGGTTGCCAGTCGACTGTAGATCCTCGGCCAGTGGGGAAGGGTGCCTTTCACTGCCTCCACATTCTTCTCGGTGCAGAGGGCGCCAAACTCCTGAATGGCCTGCAACAAGTGGGCGGAACAAAGTGAAGTTAGACCGTGGCCAAACCTAAACGTGGACCAATGATCACGTTCTTTGATGTGGAAAAACAGAGCTGTGGGACTCCCCATTCCAAAAGAAAATCAGGTTTTTGACTAATTTTTGACTAAAGGGGCACTTGGTACCAAATTGAACGTTGCGTTTCTCACTGTGATGCATGCCTACAATCTAGCTTCAGACTGTTAGTGTTTTTACTTGAGATCATTTAGAGGGTCACCAAAAGAAAGCTTAAAATCTGCAATATACATACAGGAAAATATGGTGACCGTGGTGACAGTGTTACCGGTCATTTGTAGTGGCCTGGTGCCACTGCTTTGTGACAGCTACTCTTCACAAAACCCAACAAGATGCTTTTGTTCATTACAAGGGGGTCACTGGAAATGCCCAGTGAAACATTGCTGGGTTCATGGTCATAGCTGAAATGAAATTACATACCTGCATATGGGTTGTTTGTACCCTCTGAACACTGACAATGGATCAATGAAATTTTCATGCGGTTGACTTCAAAGTGGTAATCAATGATCATTTCCTAAATCAGAATGATGAGATTTTCAATCAGTACCTTTAATTTGGTAACCACATCTCTCTTTGTCAGCTTCCTCAGCGCCATGCGGAAGTCGGCCTCCAGCGAGGAGTCCTGGTCTGACTCCAGACTCAGCGACTGGGCAGCAGGCACGTAGCCCAGGTCCCCGGACATTGCGCCGAAGCCAATGAAGCCAGATGCCCCCGGACTGGTCCCACCTTCTCTGGCCAGAAGCTCTGCAGCGCGGCCGCTGCTGGATGGCTAGGGAGGGGGCACGTCGAGGGAAGGGGTAGAGAGCCAAAAATGGTGAAAACACTTCAATCCAACTTAGTGAGGCATTGGTGCCTTGACACGTCAGTCTTAAGGCCAAGATAAGGGCAGACTTGTGGGAAGACCATTTTGTGAACCATAGTGGCATATCATGAGTGATTGCTCAATCCTGTTGTACCACATGATCTGCCATTCAGGTTCCCAGTTTCAAATTCAGCCAACTGTCTTCATGACCTTTTTGGCAAGAAGTCCATACAAGGACATCACTAATTTTTCCCTGTTGTGATAATGTTGACCATCAGGAACGATATGAATAAGTCCTTTAAAAAATAATCAAAATTTACAAAGGAAAATTTTGAGTAAGGCCTCCACCTAGAAAATATGGAAAGAATTCCATACATGGATGGCGCCTGACATCCTGTGCACAAACCCCATAGGACTGGTCTAAAATACTCTAGCCCCTAAATGCTTATCAAGTGGATACCTCAAAATTGTCAGCACTCAATTTGACTTTCAAGGACATTTTATTCCTTTCAGATGGTCACTGATGAGAAAAATCAGAGGCGTCCATGTGTGGTATTCTTGCCAAAAATGCTTCTTTCAGATCAGGCTCAGGCTCTGACATGCTTGTCATGGCTGTGCACAGGATGTACAACAGCCTCCAGACATGAACTCTTTCATCATAAGCCTTATCACTGTTATGCCCTAACTATTACATAAGTCCCAATTATAGTTGCTACAGCCCAACTGTAGTGCTGCAGTTGGGCTGGCCCAACTATTGTTGACCAGTGCCTGTGGCAAATGTCTCAACATTATCCTAGTTAATGTGTCTCACACTTGACACAATTCATCTAAAATGTAGCACTTCATCTGTTCCTGTAGCCCTATGACCGATGACATGACATTTGTAAACAATATGACTTTGGCACATGCTGAGTACATCATGCACACTGGGCCTCTGTGCTGTAGTTGGGCTGGCCCAACTGTAGCACTCTAGTTGGGACGGGCCCAACTATGGTTGGGACGTGTGCTATAGTTGGGGCATAACATCGCTAATATGGGTTACTTTGCAGTGTGAGAAGGAAAAAAGAGCACACATTGCCCCTTTTTCCTTCACACAATGCCTTTCTACCATTGTACAAATTCATGGCCATGACACACATGATGGCTTTCCTGTGTCTGAGTCATGGTTGTCAGGTTGTTTGTGAAAGACTGTCATGACTGTTTCAAAATTTAAAAAAAAGAGTTAAATGGGAGATTTTATTAAGATTGACGATAGCGGAGAGCTCATCGACTGATTGATTATGCCCAACATCACCACAATCATGACAACTAACGTGCTATTTGACTATTCATGTTACTAAGGCCCTAGACATGTAAACAGGGCCTGACGAATACTCCTGTGTCTTATACTGGGCATTGTCCCGATTCATAGGGAATGCTTTAGTAAAGTGTTATCTGGGATGTCCTGGGACATTCGCTTGTTTGTATGAGCCGTATTTGCTCTGGTATGTTCACTACTTACAGGGTAAACTATCCAGATCTGAACGAAATTCGTAAGTGCTGAAGTCTGGGTGCAAACTAGACAGGCTCTCGTACAGGCTTCCATTACTTAAACATACAAAGGAGTCTGTGTAATGTACAAGTCAGGCCAATATTCATCCGGAGATGGAAAACGGCAAAAAAAGGTAACATTTTAACCTCCAAATAAGGAAAAGGCAAGTTTTCTGCAATTAGCAACCTAGCGGATAGTTTACATGGTTTACCCCCTAAGTAGTGAACATATACTATATAGCCTAGCCTACTGCCACCGGTGCAATATCAGCTCATGCAAACAAGCGGATGCCCAAGGATATCCAGGATAACACTTTTCGAAAGCAATTCCTAGTAAGTATGAATATGGACAGGGCCCAGTATATGACGGAGGAGCATTCCTCGGGCCCTGTTTATGGGTCTCGTAGTAGTACTAACCTGACTATAAGGCCTAGGCCTACTTACCCGTAAATTTCCCTTCGTCCGTTGTTTCTGCTTACTTGCCATGTCAATTATCAATTAATAAACGGAAATTCGCTCTTCAAATTCACGTTTTACAACAGTTATCAACAGCCTCTACTGAAATCTACTGCCTCCCTTAAGTTTGTGATTGTAATGTGGATACTGAAGATAATTACACCGTCATAATCACTTAACTGTCTCCAGATGACGACGCATGGGGGCTGCCATTTTTTTTACACTGGTGTCCTTGTCATTCGGAACATGTGTTGGTAAAGTGTCCTACCAGGGAAAGTGTTCAAAGTCGCCCTCTATGTAAAGCACGTTTTCGATCGGCTGGGTGATCGGTGTCGCGATCATAATTAGTTTTGAAATGGAGAAATTAGTCGAAGCAGGCCCTTTCCTTGCCCCTGAAACAATATTTCAGTTCGTGTTCATTTTTTTCTGGGTGATGTACATGTGGGAATCCTATCTCTCGTACCGACAGGTGAGAAAACATATTGATGATCATAATGATGATGATGATGATTATTGATCTGTACAGGTAATGTATGATTTACACATGTACTGTATATTGCTAGGCCTGTACATGTCGTCCGTAGGCTTAATTCTTCTCTGTTTGTGTAAACATGTTAAACTTAAGTTGAATTAGATTAGAACTGAATAAGATTAGCATGATCAGACGAATGAATAAATTCATGTATATGTAAGTTGGTGTGATCATGGAGGAATATTAAGAACATTCCTGCATCATGTGCATGGTCACGATGGTGTGATGTTTCCTGATGAAGGCATTGCCAACTGGGAGTAGAGGCACAGATCACAACTCAGGAACTTTCCCTGGATTTGGATAATTCCCTTTACATGCTTAATTTGGGGACAACACTTTCAATAGAAAGAATTCAGCCCAGTTATCCAAGCATTAACTCTCAGATAGTGTACATGGATGCTGCCATGTTGCATGTTGCTTTTCGCTAACTTCCAGCGATAACCAATTGTACGTTCCCTGTGCCCGCGTTTGAGCGGCCAACCCAAGAACAACAATCAAGCTTTTTGTGAACATACGAGAACAAGCCGCCCGAACTCAGCCTTTGTGTCTTTGTCAAGCTTGTTTTCAATTTTTGTTTCACTATTTCACTGGGTGCGTTTTACTGCTATTTAGGGGGTTTTGTGCTAGTAAGTACGGTACATGTATGAAAAAGGAATGTGGAAAAGGTGTAGAAAGAGGGTATCAAACATTACTGGGAAAGAGGCTTCTGTCACAGCCATCACAACTGCATCTTGAATTCGTGAGAGGCAGATTGCAATTTAGACTGAGAATGCATCGTCTGATGGTCCCTTTCTTCCCTCTGTCTTTGGCTCTGGCAGAGGCAAGTCTACCGTAACACTGCCGAGGTACCAGACCCGCTGCGCGACATCCTTGATCAAGGGACCTTTGAGAAGTCACGTCTCTACCAGCTGGACAAGAGCTCCTTTGGTTTCTGGCAGGGTGTCTTTTCTCAGCTAGAGTCCTCGGTAAGGTCACTTTGGGTGAGATTGCCGGATTGGCGCTGTGTTGGATCTATCATTTCTGCAGCTGTAGGTTGATAGTGGCTCATGATAAGGCTTGATTAGGTCATGTTGAAGGATTTGCTGATAAGTCAATCGTACAGTACACTCTGACTAAGTCGGCATCGCGAAACCCGTCATATCATCCAAGTCGGCCGTTTGACAAAAGTCCCGATCGTCTGTAATGCATTTCCTTTGAAAATTTCATTTCAAAGTCTACATTTGTAATTCATCATTTTGTATAAGTCGGCATGGTTTTCTCGGTCCCTTTTCCACAGAACCACAAAAATTCCTTTGTGTAAGTCAGCATTAAAAAAAATCGTGCTTCGGTATCAGTTTCCTTCGCAGAGAAAACAGAAAAATAGAGCAACGCAAAAAATGATCTTATTTCCTCGACTAAACAACACATTTTAAGCATGCCCCTGAATAGAAATAGACAAATAGAGGAGTACAAATCTTTCTTTTTTTTCTTGTTTTCTTTTATAAGGCCATTCTTCTCCTTGGTGGCATTCCATACTTGTGGGGACGAGCCGGCCAAGCCATAGCCTACTTTGGCTATGGCCCAGAAAATGAGGTGAGTTGAATCCAAAAAGGAGGTGTAAATGGTTTGATCTATTTCACTCCATTTCCTTCAAAAACATGTAAATAATCTCAAAATGTAGTCTCCTCAGAAAGACCATAAAAGGTTACATGAAAAATTTCTAGATTCCCCCTCCCATAAAAAGTAAGCTTGGCCCCTCCCCCCAAAATGTGGTTCTTGTTCCCGACCTTAGTGGAACAGGTGAACTGTACTCTTCCTTAATCCTTCAAAATTTGCCAAAGGCTTAGGAGGTTAGACTTAGGGGGGTAGAATCTGGATACTGTGCCTTTACACAGGGAAAGATGACCCTTCAGAGTTGAAGCACAATGATTGTGCCTATGGATTCCTGCAGTGTGGTGGATTTGGAAAGATTCAGGAAGAACCTTTGTAAAAGTTCAACCAATACAGTGATGCCTGGAGTCAGCGCACGTTTTAGGAGCCACGGACTGAGACTCTTGTCGTTCAGAATGAATGCGAGATCTTCAAGTGAGGAAAATAAAGAAGACAGAGATGTAACCTAACAATTGATGCCTCTTTTCTTTTGTAGATCATTCATTCGCTGATGTTTCTCCTGCTGGTGTCGGCTTACAGCACCGTTGTTGGCCTGCCGTGGACCATCTACAGCACCTTTGTCTTGGAGGAGAAACATGGCTTCAACAAACAGGTACAGCCAACCTAAACCTGGCTGACATTTTCTCTCTGAGAACTTCACAATTAATGCCTCTGAGCTTTCCATTTGCATCAGCCAAACATGTGCTTACGTATTCCTTCCAATCTCCCCCCCCCACCTATCATCGTTTCTCCATTACTTTGGCAGGTAATTTGGATTGATTCATCAATCTCGGAAATTAGAAAATGTGTTCTGAATTTACAAAATCATATGTCAGATGTGACAGGGACAATAAAAAAATAGACCCCTAATTTCTGGACTTACCCTGATACCTTTTCCCTCTCATACATAGAGTTGGAATTTCTGATTTTTAAATTGCAACTGATTCAGCAGAAAGAAGTAAATCATGTCGTCATTTTTCCGGTTTGTGTGCGACAGACAGCAGGGTTCTTCATCAAGGATCAGATCAAGATGTTCTTGGTGACGCAAGCCCTGATGGCTCCCATCGCGGCTGGTCTGCTGTACATCATACAGATGGGCGGCCAGTACTTCTTCATCTACGCCTGGCTGTTTGCGTTTGTTGTTTCCTTGGTGGGTCATTCCAGGAAACTGCCAACAACCCTGTTCCGCTGTGCATTTTTTATTAGAGCTCACATGATGTAAATTTTGCTTTGTGGAAATGTTGATTGTTATAGTGGACGTTTGTCCTTCATTAACCCTAACCATCATCAATCCTTCAAAATCCTTGGGGCGGTTTTGGGGGATTTTTGGAGGATTGAGGCTACATGGGAAAATTGCATTGCTGATTGCGAAGGATGCATTGTCTCAAGGTTGTGGGTTAAACCTTGCGTTGTTCACCTTCAGCCATGCATAAATTCATGCCTACATGATATGTGACATCCTCCATACTGTTCCAGGATACCGTTTACGCTGCCTCAACATAATGAGAGGAATTGCCGGAGGAATTTGGAAGACTGAGGCATTTGACACCCTCCACAGAACATATTCACTGAGGTCCGAGGACTGAGGCTGTATCCAATTTTTTCATGGTGGCTATTGGAGGATTTTGAAGGATTGAGGGTGTATCCTAGCAAAAAGGGCCTCGGCAGTTAGGGTTAACGTATATATTTATAAGCCCTATGCACTCTGTGTGGTCAAGAGGGTTATGAAAAATTTAACAAGTGTGCTTGGGTGGGACTCGAACCCACAGCCTCCTGCTTAGACGTCTTCCTGTTCAATCGCTGAGCTCGCTGGGGTCTACTAGTCTTAAAACTTGCCACAATTACAGTAAAGCATCTTGCCTAGGGACATAAGAAGGATGAACAGGTCATGAGCTTAAGTAGCTCATGTCAAGGGGATTGCTTTTGTTACATGCGCAGATCATGATTACCATCTACGCTGACTATATCGCCCCGCTCTTTGATACGTTCACCCCGCTGCCTGAGGGTGAGCTGAGGACCAAGATTGAGGAGCTAGCCCGGAGCATCGCCTTCCCACTCTACAAACTCTACGTAGTCGAAGGTGGGTGATGCGTTGTTTCTCAGCCATTTCTAGCCAGCAGCAGATGCAGCAGTTGGACCAGTAACCACTGCATAGGGAAGAGCAGAACCATGAGAAATGCCGTGATGACCTTTGATGTAAACACAAAACCAGTAAATGTGCCGTGCGCCGGGTTGATTTTCGACTGAATGTGCACAAAATGTAATCCAACCCACTCACGTGTTGCATTACAGCCAGCATGCCTGTGAATTCTTTAACAACAGCAACGGTTTGCATTAGTTTAGTGTCTGTAACAACAGAAACATCACATCCAAAAGACAAATCTATAACCATTTTTAAAATAAATAATGGAGTATGTGCATGTGTTGGTTCAAGTGCTGTTCCTCACATCGGTGTACTTTTACGCACAATGTTTTTCCTGCGTGCGACGTGTTCACTTAGGTACTGTATGAAATGTTGTGTTGTCAATTCCTCTGCAGGTTCCAAGAGATCTTCTCACAGCAATGCCTACTTTTACGGCTTCTTCAAGAACAAACGCATCGTGCTGTTCGACACCCTGCTGGAAGATTACACGCCAGTGGGGAAAAAAGAGGTAGGGCGGGTGAATTTGTTTGGTGCTTGCTTTCATTTTTAAACACTTGTGACAAATAGTTCATCCTGAAATGGAGAAATACTAAATCTTGACGAGTGTACAAACACAATTGAAATACCGAACTGACTCGTGTCGCACAAGTTGAGCTTCATGCCAGGATAAGTTGCGGTCAAAATTAAAATTGTCCTAGCCCGGGCACCAGCTTGGCAGCCGGTACTCCACCAACCAGACCGATTCCGTTTCACTTCGTCAGGAAAAACCTAAAGAGCAAAGCGAACCCACCACGCCCCCGGACGAGAGTCCGGAACCAGACAAAGGAGAGGAGACCGGACCAAAGGAGGACCCAGCCTCCACCGAGCCGGCTAAGGAGGACGAGGAGAAGAACGAGAAGAAGAAGACTGGATGCAATGATGAAGAAGTCTTGGCAGTTCTCGCCCACGAGCTGGGCCACTGGAAACTCAGCCACAACCTTAAGAACCTTGTCATCAGTCAGGTAATGGTCAGGGCCACGGCAAACGTTTAAACGAACAACCAGATCAGTTTAAAGAGTTTCTGACGCATTTCAACAGAATCCATAAATTTCAAGTTAGACTTTGTGCATGTTTTTACATTATCTTTCGTCCCCATACAGAAACAACAATGTCTGCGTAGCATGTCTTTCAATTTACAATGGTAATCCTGACAGTCTTTCTTTCTGCAGGGGCCAATTTCCTGGAGCTGCTTAAGCACAAAATTTGCTTAAGCGTGAGAAAACCTTGCTTGACAAATCAGGTTACCAGCCAAAACTCCACGTGATGTATGTTGTTTTGGAACAGTATTCACCTGTTGTTTGGTTAGTATGACAATCACATAGATTTTGAGCTGGTAAACTTTTTTTTTGAAGCAAGGATTTTTTGTGCTTAAGCAGCTCTATGAAATTGGCCCAGCTGGCATGTTACCAGCTAGGTTTGCTCAACTGGCACCTTTCATCCTTACTGAGCAGGTCTTATTTCTTCAGGCTGCATGATGGGTAATTTTCCCACTTCATTGGATATAATTTGTTTGAACCTTAACATGGACCAACTCTCCCATGTACAAGTGACAAGTGTGCGCCGAAAGCCCCCAGACTGGTAAAAAGGTAGCAAACAACCCACAATGCTTTGCGAGTCGGGCATGTCCTTTGCAAAATGTAGTGAAAGGGATTAGCTAGTCCCGGCACCCCATAAGGATGGTGATGAACTCGAGCGAACCTGTTGAGTAGAAAGAACATTCCTAGGAAGAAAACCTACAAAGTTGATGCCCCTCTACCATTTTGCCAAACTCGGAAGATTAAACCACTAGAATAAGAAATTTACAAAGTTAGGCAGACCCTCTCCTCTACACCACTTTTATCCTGTTCTATTTATACAACGATAATTTTTTTTCCCCATGCCTCTGCAGGTGAATTTGTTCCTGTGTCTGTTTCTTTTTGCCCTCCTCATCGAGAGGAAGGAGCTCTTTGAGGCATTTGGTTTCTACGGCACCCAGCCCACCCTCATAGGTCTCGTCATCATATTCCAGTTTGTGTTCTCGCCATACAACGAGGTTTGTCCAAAACTCTCTCTTAAAGCCATACTTTCAGTTAGTTTTCACCCCCATTTTTCCTGTAGCCTTTTTCGAAAATGGTGACTTTTTCCACCTCTGTGGCTCCATCTGGAGCATTGAAATTGGTTGGATTTTTTCTGGGTTAGAAATAAATGGAAATTCGCCAAAACTAGGCCTAATTTTTGGACAATTTGATGCGCCGGTAGCAGAAAATGAAATTTCATCGAGCCGTACCTGACCGACTGACTTGCTGATCGATGACTGACCGACTGTCCTGACTGTAGTTATTCTTTCCGAGTTCACCTAAAAACTGTCTCCAAAAGGCCTTAAACTTGAAGAACTCTGACTTTACACCAAGTAATCGCCAGCAATTTTGACAGCAACCCAAAGAGAGCCTCCGCTACTGGTTTGGGGCGGGAGGAGTTGGAGCCTGACTTGGTGGCCCATTTCTCTGCAGGTGCTGTCCTTCTGCATGACGGTGCTCTGCCGCCGCTTCGAGTTCCAGGCAGATGCCTTCGCCAAGTCCCTGCGCCGGGCCACCGAGCTGCGCACAGCCCTGATCAAGCTGCACAAGGACAACCTGGGCTTCCCACTGGCCGACTGGCTCTACTCCACCTGGCACTACTCCCACCCTCCCCTCCTAGAGAGGCTGGCCGCGCTCGGGGAGAAGACGGACTGAAATCGGCTGCTCTGCTGTCAGTTCCAGGAGCCTGTGAATTATCGAATCAGGACACACTGTACTCACTGCACACTCGGTGACTTATGTTGAAGGCGAGTCCTTCGTAAGTATTTATCAGTAGTCATCAACAGTGGTTTTCCAAGTGCTTGAGTAGGTGGACAATGACTAGGAAATGAACTTTAATTCAACCAGTTGTCAATCGCTCTTTCACAATGCAAAAGGGCAGGTCAGTAACTTCGGTTACACTTGAATGACCCTAGCTTGGCCTTTTTAAAAAATCTCACTGTCACTCAGTTTTCACCGTTGGCTGCGATTCTCACAGTGTACATTGTCACTGAAATCTCATGCAATTATTTTCATGTGAATGGTTCCCTCAGCACATGTATTGATAAAAGGAATCAGTTATTGATAAACAGTGGTGCAAACATCCCCTGGAGCGTGGCTGCAAATGTCAACTAGATAGTCCAAGTCATCCATACCCATGGCAGGGTTAAGGCGCCTTTCCATATGTACGTTTTTGGGGTGCATTCCGCTCACGATGCGTTTGTGCGTCTCACTTTCACGGATACAAAAATTGACTCCATTAATATAATGCATTTGTGCGTTGCATTGGGCTGTCAAAATTAACCTGGAAGTGATTTTGACCGATACGCAATGCTTGGCGCAAGTGTTGACGGGCATATGGAAAAGCGCCTTTGGTCAAACAACAGTTAACTGAAGTAGTGACTCCAACTTGCCCTTCGGTGAGTAACTCGTGGCTGGAATCGCAACTGAGGCACCTGTGATATATACAAGTGAGGACTCAGGAGTACTTCTGATGTATTCGACGGCAACTTCGCTCAGTGAACCTCATGGCCATGGCATAGGTGTGCGTATTTTGTCAGCTACCAGAAAAATCACACATGCAAGTGGTCTCACGGGACAGCTGGTGCAGTCTTACAGTGTCAGAGACGACTTGCCGCCCTTAACAAGGATTCGCTTCATGGGTGTATCGCGTGCTACGCAGCCATAGGAAATGCTCTGTAAGTTGCCCGTTTTCCCTGTTTCTCTGTAAGCTTATGAAATCATGCACAATTTGATTGTAAAAGGACAAATCACCGAACACATTTAAAATGACTGTTTGCAAGAAATGGGACACTTTCATTGGAGGTAACCATTTTGATTGATGGTGTCATTGTGACTGAGTAGCCGGTAGTGGTGGGCATCTGTCGGTCCCCAAGGAATCATGGACTTGTGCAGCTGGATGTGGCTGGTAGCCTGTAATGGCCGTCAAAATAGCTAAAACCTAAGTTGTCGAATGTCTGCTTGAAAAGCTTCTCTGTTTTATGTAATGGCGCTCTCGTAGTCTTCAGTGCCATGTTCTAAGGCTCTGCCAAATATTCAGATATCGATCAATTTTCAAATATTTGACTGTGCATTTTCAATTTGGAATTTTCAGAGCAAAAAGTAACGAAACAAAAAGGGTCAAATTCAGTTCTTTGTTTACAAAATTGCATTTGTAAAGCGTATTTCAAGGTGTTGTAGGTAAACTTAAAGGCAACTGATGTACAATGCCCGACAATAAGGCCCCCCCAGTTAGTTTTCTGTCAAGTTTGTCTCTTTCTGTTCTTTCTGTACATGTAGTGTGTAATTTCGCAGGGACTCCAGTGGTAATAAGACAATATGTGTTGGCCCTTTTGAAAAATTACACTCTATCAAGTTTCAGATACTAAAAACCAAGTGGCAGGTAGAAAGGAAAAATTTTGTCCTGTGCTGGTGTTCAGAGGCATTCCTGACGTAGAAAACTTCTTGTCACGATTGAATTTGGTTCAACTTCTTTATAGCGCCCTCTACTGCCAGTGCAGCTTACTTGCTCTTACCATGCAAGTGTATCTGTGCAAGTGCCAGTGGATTATCCCCAAATCCAGTCTTGGGAAGAGACTGGCACAGATGACCTCACACTGCACTGATCATTGGCCTTGCCTGCCGTGTTCCATAAGCATGTGAGCCAGGTACACACGAGGTGTGCCAACCTACAGATGTTATTATGCACCTTCTGACTGTTTCCTGACGTCAATTCTAGAGTCATACTTCTTGCAGTAAATCGATTTACTTCTCACACAGGGCTATAACTAATAAGCCTTTTGCGAGTTAAATTTGAATTAAGATCTGGTTCACCAAGTTCTTTAAATTCATATTTAACGTAACAATTTATATTCTCCATACTTAAAACACTGTTGCTATATCTCGTGATCTGGGGCAAGCTTTTGCGTAGTTACATAAGAGACGCCTTGCAACAATACACCGTTTTCAATGGATAAGAAGGGCACAAAGGAACCAATCCATTCCAGAGATGCAAAAGCTTGCCCCAAATCACAAGGTCTAACAACAGTGTCTTTTGTCTGGGGAATTCAAATTGTTGCATTTATGTACAATCAGGATACTCAATTTTATTCAAATTTAACTCACAAATGGCTTATTCTAGGTAATCAAAACAAGTGGTTGAGCACATTTTTGTATAAGTGTAGTTTTCTGAGGAACCGTGTTTAGGCCTGTGAACTGTAAAACATGCTTTGTTCTTCCGAAGGGTTCATATGTTCGGTCACTTCTCAGTAAAAAAGTTTATTATGTGACTCAACCTACTCGGTTCATCAATTGAGACTTTGTGGATCAAATTCACAAATAAAAGTACCTGTTGGCTTTGTCAAATGATTTAGTTTTTTACTCGTGCGTGACAAAGTCCTCAGAAGCACCTTATGACTAGAATAGGCACAACGTACATTATCAAACTAGTTTCAATTAAGTAAACAATGTCACAGTACTTGATTCTGAAGCCTACTTCTCTTTAATGGTGATGATTAAATCCACTTCAGCTGTTAATCCAACTATAAGTCCACTACAGTTTTTCTGGTTAAACACTGATTTAACCTCTATGCATGAACGGCACGAATCTATATAGCGTATGTGACTGCATGTAGTGCTTGGATAGCAACGACTTAATGAACTCCAACTTTTAAAATCCGGCTTATTTCTGTTACCATTTAGCCATTTACAGCCCTGGGAATGAGGCTGTCTGATAGCATTGCCTGTGTACAAAGCTGAGTACAGACAAAGCGACACAATTCATTCACAATGAACAGTTCCGTATGAACTACATGTATCAGGGCACAAGCTGGAATGACGATGGAGGTAGGATTTCCCTGATGTGGCACCATTCTATCTCGACTAGATCTGAGACCACCCATATCTTTGGAGGCAGGTCAATTGAACTGACAGGTGGTGGATCACGTATGCTTTTACATTGTCTTGTGTCTCTTGTCAGTTTAGATTATAAGATTTAGCTCATAAGGCAGAACAAAGTCTTGGCAGTTGCCAGTTAACACTGGCAACCTTCAGCTGCTCTGTCAAATTCTGGACTGTCAGTGTTCCTATTGAGGATAGGCAAGGACCGACACTGAGTTCTGATCTGACACTGGAAAATTTCCGATCCAGATTTGAAATTATCATAGCAAAATACTGTGTAGTGAGTACACAAATGTATGCATTCAGGCCACATGTCATTTGCATGAGAAAGTACATGAAAATTTCAGCATGGACATTATTGCACATGCTCAAGCCAGGGCAAATTAAAATTGCCACATTTTGTTGAGGGATCCTGGTTTCCGGGCAAAAGTCTGATTTTTTAGGGATTTTATTTTGAATATAGATTTAAAGTCTTGACTACATTTAGGCTTTTCTCGGACCTTGTTTTTAGTCAGAGCCTGACATTTCTGTTGTGTTACACGATTATAATTCCATGGCGGTCAGAGATAGGGAACCAGTTTAAATCACAATAGGTTTGTCCCATCGACAGATTGATCAATACTGATGGTGAATTTAGGCGTACTTCAGGGAAAGGCTGTCTTCACTCGCAAGTCCCAGAAAGGTCACAATACACACTACATGCGCATTTGTAAGCAACGTTTACATGCATGAGCTTCAACCTTATTACTGCTTCACATTTGAACAATTCACAGCATCCGCACGCTCATGTACATACATATATTGCACTAATTTTGAGAGAAATATAGTGTACGTTTCTTACATATTGAGTCATAGTGGTATGTGGTCATTACGATGTCATGCCATTGAAAATATTTACACAGAATGTTACGATTGCATTCAGCTTTTAAAATATAAATGGTTGAGCAAATAACCTGCCCACATGTATGCCAGAGTACATTATGTACAATATGTACAGTCGAACACTATTAATAAGAGGTCCTTCGGACTTGGCAAATTCCTGTTATGACAGGAACCTGATATTAGGACTAAAAACATTGAAAAGCAAAGGATTTAGGCCTAAAAAAGTCCTTGTTTATAAGCAGGACCTTGTACTGACAATGCTCTCTTATTAACGAGGTTCGACTGTATTTTAGTTGCTTACCGAGCTTCAAGTGGAACCACATGGAATATCATTGGGTAAAATTGAATAAACTAGGCCTACTGTAGGAGTCACAGTAACTCTTGTCATATAACTGACCATAAAGTAAATCTAACCTCATAAAATAGGTAAAAAGAACATACACATGTGTGATTTCCATAGAACACAGGTGATTGATTGTACAAAAATACATTTGTCATTCTTAATGAGCAGTAACTGTGCATAAAGCTGTCTACAATTGTTATGATGAAATATTTAAAACAAAAACCATCACACTATTCATGGATTATTAAAGCTTCTCTACTTGTACGAGTATAGTAGCTCACTGCAATTCAGTTCTCCTTTGTATATAGATGCCGAAAAAATAGAAATGATAGAACAAATATGCATTCATCACATTCAAATGCCATCAGTCTTCCAATATCAATATGATTTACACACACCGTAGGGGAATAGACTTGGTAGAACACAAAACCACCACACTATTTACAGAAATGGCAAAGACATTAGTACATAGAGTTTCATAATGTACTTGCATATAGCTACGGTCATGTCACTCCTTTGTAAATTCCTGCACTGCAGAGACACTGAAACATCTTGGCAAATAACCAGTTAAGAACCGAAGATACACAACTGGGAAGGTAAGTTTCCACCCCTAAATCCAGTTTCAGGTATACTTCTTGAATACATATCATGTGTAAACATTAAACATTGGCAACTGGAACAAATGATTGTCGTCAGGCCATGTCTTTGCAATATAAAAGACACTAGCATCATGGCAGCGTGTCCCTATTGCTACATGGTCAGTATTTATAAAGCCAATAATAACCGAAGTTCCCGTTCTGTCATTTTGTAAAATTTGAAATAAACCTGAGGTATTTTCTTTTTAATTTCAGAGCATTCAGCAAACTTCTCTGCAATATAACTTTGAAAACACAACAATTGTCAAATAACAGCCATGAAACAAGTCTGAGGTTTACCCTCAGGCTTGTTTCATTATCAACAGATGGCTGTTATTTAACAGTTGTTGTGTTTTCAAAGTTATATTGCACAGAAGTTTGCTTGTAAAACTGGGTGCACAGCAGGCACATTTCTTACCAAATATGGGGACTGTCCCAGTACTCAGGCAAAAATTACTTGCTCCTTGATTGCACAAAACTACTTGCTTCATCTAGTCCTAGATTACTACAGGTGGCCAATTTCTTCCAATTAACCATAGCTGTTAAGCAGAGTGGGTCAATGAGCAGGAATATGAATATATCCATCCATACAAGGTGCTTTGCAAGTTGATATGATTACCATTATTATATCTGCAGACCTTTGACTAATAACTAAAAGTAAATGAGAACATGGGTACATGCACAATGAACTCAACCTAAAGACTAGTACATGACTATTCAGGTATTTAATATACATGTATAGAAATGTAAGCCTTTCTAAAGTGACAAAACCATTTAGCATATATAACAAACACATCTGATGCAGGCCCAACATTATAGCTTGCAGATAAGGTCTGAAGCTATGCATGGTGGAAGTTAGGTAGGCTTGCGGTTGCACCATGTACAAGAAAACATCTCTTTTACGAGTGTGTGGTTCTTAGGAGAACCAATGGTAGACACTCGACGTTCCGAACGGTATGCTCTGTTCGTCTTCAGGGGGGTGACTGGTTGCCTGGCTCTGAGGATACTGGTTTTAAGCTACCTAACTTAATTATAGCTTGCAAATAACGCGTCTTGAAGCTTCTTGAAATAATTTGTGAAGCAAGTTTGTAATATCCTTTATATCTGAGTAGACATTTTTACCTGTGATAAAATCATTTAAATGTCTGAACGTGTTTTACCTCATGACACTTTCTTTTATTGCCCTCCCCTCCTCAAAGGCTTTATGGAAACATGACCCCCCCAAAAAAAATCAGTAAAGTTGTCTCTTGCCTTCGCAATTCCTGCCAAACTTAGTGACATTAACCCCCCCTGAAACTTACTTATTTGCTAGCCGCCTTGTAATAAATGAATATATATAATTATTAGAAAAAAATATAAAAATTGTGTATAACAAACATACATGTGCCATGCACAATCTGACTTGGGTACTTTGTCTGGTTTCTACTGGCCACGATAAGTGAGTGCATGGCAAAGTGGCATTCTTCTGCGTAGGTTATGCGGCAGGGTGCTGCTCTTTATACAATCAACGAATACGTAAAATTTGCAAGGTTCTCTAGACGTATGTTTGACAGCATCCCGTTACTTTCAACGCCCTACATCCACCATTACCATTGCATCACTGATCAGCCTTGCATAAACATATGGACATATGTAAATGGGCTCCAGGAGAGTTGGTGTGCCATGTCAATAGCAGGAGAGTACTCCCGGGCATACTGTGGACCAAGTTTTGTAAGTGGCTTTTAACAAAAGGCTGGCAAGTTATTAGGGTTAACGACTCTTTTTCAAACTTCTATTCAGCTCTTTAGGAGAGAATTTGTACTTTTGAGGTAAAAAAGACAGATGCAGATGTGTATTACAAGCCAGATTCTTTGCAGTTTGGCTTCCACAGTTTTTTGCATTACAGGTAATCCTAAAACAAGAACAAGTTTATATTCACAGAGAGCAATGGATACTGAACACTATTCTCTGTTATAGTAGCATCAGGAAAACCATAGGTCCAGTTCCACTTAACTGCTTGGCTAAAAATACAGCTGTTAAGCAAATTCTAGGTGACAACCAGATACAACTGGTCTCAACACGTGACATAAGTGATCCGATAATCTGTTTGGGCTAAGCCCAATTTGACTTCGCTAAGCTAGTTCAGAACTTCCACAGAAGCTCCTGTTGTAAAGTAAACTCCGGCTAAGTCAGCACCCTCGGGACCCCAAAATTTGTGACAACTTACACGAAGGCCGGCTTCTACTGTAAGTTGTCATTTTGCTGACTTACTGTACATGAAATGATGACCTATGCATATGTGTATGTAAACGTACATGTAACATGTGTAATGATAGGGTTGCAGTGCTCAAAATATCTTGTCCGAGCATGGAGGAAGGCATAGACACAATGAAAACATGTACATGTAGCATGATTTGCAATGCTCCGAAGTTTTGACATTGGGGTTAGATTTTGTGAAGCACAGTGGTCTATCAGTGCAGTGCGAATGGAGTGCCTGCATACATGTACCGGTAAATGCTGAATTCACCTGGTGACAGCCCAACAAAAAATCACGCTCCACAGGACTGCTGAAAATAGGCCTACGTGTACTAGAACTGTCAAAATACCAGTGAAAGCGGAAAATGCCTACGCATAAAAGGGCATCTAGATCTGTCAACCAGCTCATTCGCGAAGTATTTCACAAGTTTTTGATCACTTCATGTTTTCAGAGTGTCTTTGTCTGGAATGTCTGCACTCCCGGGTCGTCGCTGGGGTCACTGGCTCTCGGCCATTCCTTTCCATTCTCGCTATTTTGGGCAGTAGAAACCCGTGTGCCACACATGCTTTGAGTCTTGTGAGTGCTTCCATGAAACTGCGCTCACAATCTAACTCGTCTCATGATTGGGCTGCGGTAAAGTAGAAATTATCCAGTTTTACTCTACATACCCTCATATTATATACACATTTTTTTTGCAGGAAAAATCCATACAGTTTTTACATGGCATGTACATGTGTTATCCTCAAATGTACACGTGCTGGCAGAGAAAGGTCTGAGATCTGTTCATGATATCAGTGCATGCGATGGGAGGTATCCTAACAAGCATCGATGCAGCGATCATGGACTGTGCCAATAAATGGACATGAGTGTGTGACTTTTCACTGACACTTCTTGCCATCCACAGCCCAGAAATTGCCGCCAATGTGGGATTTTTTCCAATGCCGACTAACACAAAGGATTTTGTTGTGTTCTTTTTGTGGAAATGAGACCGAGAGTAACACGCCAACTTTAGCAAAGTGACAAACTGTTAAGCCAACCTAGAAATAAAAATCTAATGGAGATGCATTAGAGAAAATTGGGATTTCCGGTGACTTAGCCAGAGTTTACTTTTTTCCTTCTAGCTAGAACCCCCAGGTTGAAGTGCTCTCGAGACAACCTGGCTAATAATCCTCACCAATTTTTAGGATTGCAGTCTTGCAGGTATGTTACTTGCTAGCTAGCATTCTGAAAGAAAGCGACGCAAGGATTAACGGGTACATAAAGGAACAAGGAAAACCCAAGAAGACGTGAGGGTTCGACCTCGTGGGGCCTGGGTTTTATTAGTTAGCCGAATAAATCATAGTGAACAAAGTCTTGGCTCTGTTTCCACTTTTCATTCAGGGCAAAAACTACTCTTAGACTGTTGGTTACTGAGGCTTCACAGTTAATTCAGGAAACTTTCCAATCCATCTTTTCTCCTCAAAGGGGGTGGGTCGATTTTATTTCCCTGTGCAATCTCCCCTTGCAACAACCTTGTGCCTTTATCTACCTTTCTTACGCTGTCACGTACTACCCTGACTTCACTGTCCACTATCCATCACTGATACTGAAACCCCATCACAACAACAAGTTACAACGTACATTTTATTTTAGCACGTCACCAAGAAGCAAAACAATGTAAAGCAATCAGTGTGATGGGCAAGTCTAACTATCTACATAAGTGACCCGCTCTGTGAAAATAAGTCATAAGTAGCCAGTGCCACTTCTTAAGTTTTCATTTGTACTGGAAAGAGCAGATTGATATTTTTTGTTTGGATTTATCACTCAGAAAGTGGATACTCGGCGAGAAATGCCGTGGGTTCCTACTGATTTACACGGCAAAATTATTTTGAAGAACCTTTTACTAAGTGGCTCTGGCGATTTGCGACTCTTTTTGTCAGAGTGGGTCACATGTACTACATGTACTTCCACAGCACGGCTACATTGTACATCTACTAACTACTTACATGTATAAACGTAGTCACTACTTACTATGCTGTTATAAATTCTGTTACTCATTTTTTATGTTTGTCTCTGTTTTTTTAATCAAAAGGCAAACAAAAACTCTGAAGTGGTGATTTCTTTTTCAATCAGTAAGTGGCATAAACACATCAACACAAAACAAAACAAAACAAAACGCCACCATGAAACAATTAGCATGAAGATCAAATCTATCTCCATGCAAACAGGTGCACTTCATAACTTCCAATGCCTCACCTGCAACATCATAACTACTACCACTTCTAATTACAATCACTTCTTACCACTATACGTGGATATACAGAGTATTTAAATCTGGCTTTTTGTTTTCAAAAGCGAAGCACAAGTCAGAAGAAAAACCCTCAACAACTGTTCATTTACTTTGGATCGGATGATCCCTGTCTAAGATATTCTCCTGACTAAAAATCCAAAAGGGAGTATGCTCGTTCACTTTCTCAAATAAATTTTCTGTGAAACCCGCAGGGGTCAGCTCTTTGCTGTTCATATCCAATACAGGTTTACGAACTCACCAAGGGAAACACAGTCTGGCCCTTTAATACCAAGCTGTAGTTTTTTCTCCTGCATCAACAACTACATAGACACGCTCCAATCAGGACTTGAACACTTTGACGATGGTTGTGATGGTCCCTCGGCAGATTGGGCAGGACATAAGCGACCTGGCGCACACATCGCACACCACAAAGTGCGTACACGGCATGAGCACGACATTGACGTCGTTGTCCATGCAAACCTTGCACAGATTTTGTTCCCGGAGTCTCTCCACCTCCCGCTCCATGTCGACCGCTGGAAGGACAAATGAGAAAGAAAAGCCTAAAACATGTGAACAAATGCCACAGAATGGCTTCATGACGTAGTGTCCCCAACCCTCTGTGGCCCTCCTAAAGCTACCGGAAGGTTTCAGGGGATTCCTCAGCATTGACAAGTGTAGAACCGAGCCAATATTGACCACTTTGTGCCGGGCCCATTTATTCATGTTGATTCTGCTGGGCCGGGTGAGTTTTCACTTTTTTCTGTTTTAAAGCTTCTTTAAAAATTCATAACTTCATTTACTAAATGTTTACAACCATCCATCCATGTTTACTAGACGTTCAGCAAGGCCTGCTGAAGTTAAAAATAGCCCAGATTGTGCGGTGTTATGCATTTTTCTTTTGTTCCAGAAACCAACACAGTGCGCTGTTAACGGCTTTTCAATACGGGTCAGATTAGCATGCAGCGGTATTGTATTGTCATCACTGGAAGCTTTTGTCCCTGGTAGTAATCCGCTCGCGCTGAATGCCACAAACAGTGGTATAATCTTTCAAAACAATGACGGATTACCTCCGCTATTGACAACTGAAAAAATGTTGGAAATTCCCTGCAGCTCAGTCTTTTGGTCTGAGTAGGGTCTTTTGTTACAAGGCCCATCTCTTTTGTCCGGTTGTTAAAAAACAAACCCAAGACTGGGTCCCCCGGCAGTAAGTGGTTAAACAAAAAATACTGCCCTCTTTGAAAGTTTACATGTACATGTATGTTTTGCTTGCCTCCTGCATAGCACAGAATTTTGAAGGCTCCAAGCAGTTCTCCAGCGAAAATGCTGAATCAGATTTTAATGGTAGAATATGGTTTTATTTTCCATATTACTGTACATGTGTATCACAAAATTAACAAAAAGATGTTTAAAGAATGGCAAAAATGATACTTGGGATCCTGGTGCAAAGCAAATGTTTGCACAAGGTCTGGAATGAATCTTTCATTTCATTTCATTTATTCGTCAACAAATACTCCAGTCTTTTCAGTACATCTTCGTAAAAAAAAAAAAAACCTCTGACGACGCCAGCTCCAAATTATCGTACACCATTTCCTACACTCCACATGAAAAAAGGCATATGTTTACCTGCTCCAGTGGTTCTGCCCTGTCCAGAGATGTGGTTGCCGACGCTCATGCTTTGTAGCTTCTCCGACAGCAGGCTCAGGTCGTCCCTCTTCCTCTCCACATGCTTGACCTGTTTCTCGGGCACCTCCTTTGTGAACTTCTCTACCCCTGTAGAGGCCCTACCCTTCTGTTCCTTCCCGTCCTCTCTCTGCCAGGTGCCGGCTTCTCTCTGCTCCTCGGCCTGCCACACGGCTTCCAGCAGGTCGTTGACGTTTTGGAACTCTTGCCCCGCCGTCCGGAGCTGGTGACCGATGACTTCCCTGACCAGGTCGGCATCATAGCCCATCTCCAGGATGTGCTTGGCCGAGCGGCTGTTCATGGCTTCATCTGAGGGAAAAAAGGTAAAACACATCTTACCTTCAAGCAAACTTAATTTCTCAATTCTGATTGGTCGATCCATGGCAACAAACAGTGTGATATTAAGTGTATTGCATGGTTCACATTAGACCCTGCCTAATGCGGTCTTCTAACTTCGCGCATTGCGCTATTTTTACATTAATAGCAAAAAGCAAATCTATAAAATTTACTGTAAATACAAGGTGGCGCGTTTGTGTTCATAACCAGAATGATGTGTTGACAAACACAGATGACCCGGCCCGCCAAGCCCATGCCTAATTCAACAACTTTAGTTTTTGACCACAAAAAAGATATGCCATTTGAGTTACTGTGACCTTTACCCTGACCGTTCAGGCTGAAAAGCAACAAGCTTGTTGGGATTACCAACAAATTTGAAGTTCACACACTAAGTGTTTCTCAAGTTGTTATGCTAAACAGCTTTCTGCTGCTTTAGCCGTTGTGACCATGACCTTTCTGACCAAAATGCAACAGGCTTGTTAGGATTGCCCAAAGCAACAAACCCAAATTTGAAGTTCACACTCAAAAAAAATCTCGAGGTATGGCTTTGACAAGATTTCTATTATTTTTAGCTGCCTTGGCATTGACCTTTGACCTTTCAGCCCAAAATGGAATAGTCTTCTTAGGATTTATCACCAGAAGCAATCTACAAACCAAATTTCAAATTCATGTGTAATATACATGTATTTCTCAAATTATCACACTGACAAAACTATTTTACACACACAAGTGTGTATTTTCCTGCAACTGGGGACCCCTTATTGTTCCTCTTTTGTTTGTACGGGGACCCTCCGTCAATCGGGGACCTTATTGTCCTCTATTGTTCAAGATCCCCGATTGAATGCAGAAACAAACTCACCCACACATACCCATTTTACATACAAAGTGTGGACTTTCCTTTGTTCTCCTGTGGTTAAGGAAACTTGAGGAAAATGCTCCTTTTTCTCTAACTAGGAAAACTCCTTCGAGCTAGATTTTTGAAGGTGATTCCCTGGACTGTTCCTTTTCATTTTGCCACAGATAACCTTGACCCCAAAATGTCTCTGAACTTGTTTTTAGAGGGGGGGAACATTGTGTGGACGTGTGCGAGTCCACACTACGCCACCACACCCTACATTATGTGGACTTCTTTTGTGCAGAGGTCCACACTATGTATGCCACGCCTGCACATACCTTCAGACACATACCTATAAAAAGGTTAAAGAGAAATAGTATGCCCTTTCCTTTTCATCCCAAGGCAATAAAAAGAGATTTGGAGGAACTACAGTATGCAATCTTACGGTAATAGGTTTGGGTTCCAAGGATTGGGTTCCAAGGTTTGATCGCCCTCAGCGCTCTGACACATGATCCTTGTTCACTCTCCAGGGGCTCTGAGATGCATGCAATCGAGGCATACCATCATCTATTTGCCTGCACAAATCATCTTTTCTGTGATGGACCAATGCATTTTGCCTTGGTGGGATTCAGAGCTGCATTGGACCTGGATCTCTAACTTTGCAGCTGCTGTCTCTGCTAGACCAATAAGCTCAGGTCTGACCATGGAGTAACCTGATGCTCTAACTTTGCAGCTGCCGTCTC